AAAGGGATCTTCTAACATTTCACTGACTAACTCAGAAAACAATGATTGACCAGAGGCCCTGCTCTCAGTTCTGCCTCCTTCATAGGTGCGGTTAGTGGGAACAGGAGACTGGGCTTTCTCAGTGGTGGCCCCTTGGCTGTGGAATTCCCTCTCCAGCAAAATTAGGTCAGCCCCTTCTCTCCTGACCTTCAGAAAGCAAGTAAAGCATGGCTCTGAGACCAAGCCTCTGTCCAATAACGCAGTGCAACAAGTGAAGATGGAAAATTTGTGCAATAATGACTGTAATGGCTTTTTTTTACTATGTTTCCAGATTGCATAGTTTTAATAATGTGTTTATATCTTTATATGTTTTAAACTCTAGTTTTAATGTATATATGATTTTACTGTATATATGTTTTTATGGCATCGAATTACTGCCTATCTATGAGACCACTCTGAATCCCCTTTAGGGTTGAGAAGGGCAGCATACAAATATAATAAACAAACAAACAAACAAATAATCCTCCCAAACACTAGCTGCTTTGTCACCTGGACACTGGTTGTATGGAGGCACTGGAAATCTCTTTATTCAAGCTTGGAGAAAGAAGAACACAAGTTCACAGAAACAAAAGTCATTTGTGAGCTTGGAGAAAGTCACAATTACATGACATTCAAACAGGATTCTGCCTGTAGGCTATTAAGACTTGATGTTAATAACAAAATCCAGGAAGCAGCAGGTTGAAAGAGGCCATTGCAAAATCTACTTTTGCAACTTTATAACTGTCAAAAAAGCAGGACAGTTCTCTGATGCAATATGACAGATAGGGAGAGGATGATTTACAACATGGCAATAAATTGGTAAGAATAGATTCGCATCTCTATCATATCATATGGGCCTGCATGATGCCAATGTGAAGGTTCTAATCCACATAATCTATGAACTTGTGTAAGGCGCCTTCATAATGATTCCAGAAAATCTGCTGAATAGTGTTCTTCACCACAGGTACAATGGAAGTTGTTTTGAACACTCATAAAGCCAGTCATATCCACTGGTTTTACAGTAGATTTTACACCAGGGTGCATCCAAAGAATGAGGCATCCTATTAAGAATTCATCCCATCTATTTGCAAGGATCAAGAAAATCATCAACCCCACCCCCCCCTTCCCTGGCAACATACTAGATATTCATAAAGTGTTAACCTACTAACAATAACTCCATTACTCCAACCCTTCTTTTTTTCCTTTTTACCTGACTCCCATTTTCCTTTTTTATGTGAAAAAATCTGAAATATAAAGTATTTTTAAGAAAAGAAAAGCATGACAAAAAAAAAACAGGAAAACATCCTATGTTTGAGTAATAAGTAGAGTTTTAGGAAAGCCCCTTCCTTTAACTGAGCAGCCTGGTAGTCAAATAACACATTAAGCACAGTTTAGATATAATGACATTATCATGATAAAGCAAAAACACATGATATGTTCCCTTCCAGTCATTTTCCCTCCTGCTGACCTCATCCATCTTCATGGCAGCTGCATTTAGTTTGTTCAAACAACAGTTTGTCATTAGACTTGAACCAACAGACAATGGTTGAATCCATGATTACCAACCAGGATCCAACTGTGAAATGCCAACAAACTCTGCTGACACAACAAAAGCACAATCTGGACAGAATAATCTGGGTTTCATGATTCAAGAAATGAGTTGAGTTGGCATATTTATTGTCTAGAAAGGCTGTTTCAACTAGTACTTTGAGGAATGAAAATGCTAGTTTTCAGGATGAGTATAATCAGCTTAAAAACAATTGTTTCATCCATTGCCCCTAAGTAATAGAGATGACTAGCTCTACTGCTTAAGCAAACCCATAAATATTAAAAAGAAAACTCAGCAATCCAGTTCTTAGCTAAATATGCACTAAGCCTTCCTGACTTGTGTCTTTAGCATCTGAAATGATGAGAAACATTTCCCAATTATATGAAGCAGTTGTTTTTTCCCTGGGAATTTACAGCTAAAATAAAGTTTGTCAGCAGGCTATTGGACTCATTTGGAAGTCTCAAGAGAACTGGAAATCTTCCTTATTGCAGTTCTCTGGAGATGTACAGAATCTGAACCTTCGTGCTTCTCTTACATCCTTTGCCTGCATGGCTAGACAAACAACATTGCAGAGACTCTGATTCAGCAGCTTTGCTGCTCCAGTGCACAAAGAATTGCATACTTGTGGCAAACTCATTCACCTCAGTTTTAGTGGAATCTCTGCACACTGTAAACATTCATGGGCAGGGCTTTACTTGAACAGGTATAAAATCACAATATACATCAGCAAACTATATTTGGGAAAGTGTAGGTCATTGGTACCATTTTTTTCTAACCCCAGATTTTGACAAGTTCACAGCCATCTCTGACATCATTCCCCTTAACTCCTTTATATTTTTACAACAGAAAACAACAAGCACCACCATGCACCAATCTTGGAAATACTACCAGCAATCATAGTAACTAGAGATTTCCATATCAGTGGGGTTTGCAAGGTGGGCAATGAATCTATTCTAGATCTTATTTCAAACTTGTAAGGTGCTGAACACTATCCTCCAAACAGGCTCAGCATTTCAGTAATATTCAGGACACTGAATGTTTAAAATGTTTAATATTTAGAATAAGGTCCTGAAGATATTTGCCGCACCAAGGCACCAATCACTGATTACTGGTTCTCCAAATGCTTATGCAGTAGACAATGTTCACTAGATTCTGGGAGCACTTAGCACTTTCAGCACTTCAGGAGCACTTTCAGGAAGATGGCACTCTTTTCTCAGACCAAGATGAAGCCTGTTTAGCTTTAGTTGCTTAAGCACTAAGTCTGCTTGTATGAGTCTCCGATGTGAGTTATCTAGGATGGAGTTGTCCATGGTGCTATCTAGAACATGAACTTTGACTCGCTTTGCTTTGCCTTACAGGAACTGATTTCTGTCTTGATTTGTGTGTCTGGCTGGAAACCAAGTAGTTGTGCTTAAGCTCATCTGACTGAAATTATCTGAGATATAATTGTAATATGCACCCTGGCATCTGCTTGAGGTCTTGCACTCTCCACCTCTTGAATGAGGAGAAAGAGGGTGAAACTGGAGATTACTCAGGGAAACTCTATTTCAGATACAGGATTTTGCTTAGATGTTTGGAAGCCCTAAACCTTTCTTGAACCTCAGGTAGAGCAATACATTTCACAATTTCATCACAAAATTGGAAAAAGTTACTATATGAACTACAATTCCCAGGTGTTTGTCAAATGAAAATAAACTTTTCCAAGCTCTGCTATACCACCTCTCTTCAAGCTCAACTTTGTTCTTTTTTGACAAAACAACAGACCTCACAACCTCTGAGGATGCCTGCCATAGATGCAGGCAAAACGGCAGGAGAGAATGCTTCTGGAACATGGCCATATAGCTCAAAAAACTTACAATAGCCTAGTGATTCTAGCCATGAAAGCCTGTGACAACATAACTGGGAGATGTTCTCCAATGAAAAAAGTCTTCTCTAACCCACCACTTTCTCCCTACCTCCAGCCCATGCTTCAAACCTGCACTTGTGGTGAAAACTGATCTGTCCAACCTGGACTGTAGAAAAAGCATTTCCTGCACAGGAAATAAGAGGCACTAAAAGGGAAACAGGGCGAGAGTAGGATGGGTTAAGTGCTCACACTTTTTCTGATGCCATGGACCTGCTTTGCAAAGAAGCTACAGTTAGGCTTTCAAAAAACACAGAAACAGAACTTTATCATACCAATCTGTTATTCTGATACAGTCACATTACTGAAGATAACTGACATATACTGGGATAAGGACCTTTGATATTACACTTCTCTCTAACACAATTGTATCAAATTGCCATTCTGTGGTCCAGCAATCATGCTTCCACACATGCTTCTCATTCCTGCACTACTGTTGTTCCTTACTTTTAATTTTAGCACAATTGCTAATGCATTAATAACAAAAAGGCAAAGATATGGATAAAATAGAAAGAAAAGAGACAATTGGGAATAGTGGGAAGAAGAGGGGGAGAGAAGGTAAATCCTACCCTTCGATGTCACATTACTGCCAGCATGCCAACACAGAGGTGGAAGGGACCTATCACGTCAAGGTAAGTGACAGGAATGTTGTGGTGTTAGAAGGGAGAATCACAAAAGGGAGGCAAACTGGTAGCAGAATGCATACAGCATTGTGTGATAGGGTTTGCCAGTTTGCCTGTCTCATGTGACAGTCTACGGAATCTGAAGCTGTCAGATGTTGAAACAAATGTCTGCTTTCCATGAGAGTTGTCTTTCAGATTTGGGAGAGCTCAGCCCTGCCTTACTACTTGGAACGAGTCCCTCATGGCCAGTCAACCAGGGCTTAGGATTCCACTGAAATCTTGCTGGGAGGCCTACAGTCTCGCAGTTTAACTATTTATTTATTTACATTATTTCTATTAGGCTCTTTGCACCCCACAGGGGACTCAGAGTGGTGTATAAACTTTATACAGAACGCATATAGGCAAATATTTAATGCCGTTATACAATTGACAGGATTAAACAATACATAAACAGAAGTATAGGATATGCCATGAGCTAATGTGAAAAAAGGAGATTACTTTACATGTAATGACCTTCACGGCAGGCTCTTTATAGGGCAATGTGTGCATTATTTCATTTAAGATCAGATCTGTTATATTTGGTGGGTCCCTCAATTAATTCTGTGGAGTTCCCTTGGCGTTTGTTCGAGTGTCCTTTCTTGACAGTATTATTGTTAATGTGGGAAGTTCAGGGGAAGAACACACATATAACCAACTTACCCTTCTGTGGCAGCTGCCATGGTAGTTTTAGAAAGGCAAAGGAACATTACTAAAATTGAGGGAAATCCATTCCTAGGACTTGTTAACATCCTTCTGCATCTCCACCCATTGCTTAAATCTTGATATAAGATTAGAGTGCCATGCCACATGTACAGAAAACAAAATGAAAATTAAAAAATAAAATGAAATTAGAGTTCAAGCAACATACCTGTGACAACACTGGGGATTTTTGTCAAGAAGCTCTTGACTGTTCGGATGGGCACTCCACCAGCTTTGTCATCTTGCATCCTTGTAATGATATCTTCTATCTGGGAAACAAGAAAGAGCAACAATGAACAATTAGTCTTGTAATCCAAAAAAGTGACTGTATAGATCTAGTACATGAAAACGTATTTATGGTCTTAGCAAACTTCTACTAATGCTTCAGAAACATCCAATTTTTTTACAAGGAATCTTGTCCAAAGAAATAAAGAGTGGAACTGAGTTGAAGGTATAAAGGAAATATGACGATTTTATATGTGGGCGAGATCATGTGAAAAGCCAAAAGGTATGACAGATACCATGTAGCAGCCTGCCTGGGTTTTGAAAGGGTTACAATGCAGAAATAGTGAGAGCTGAACTCTTCACCTTCAGCTGAGCATTCCTGAGATAAGATGGTTCACAAACTCCCAGCTGAAAATGTGACTAACTTGCTTGTTCCTTCTCATTATATTCCAACTTTGGGAGATAAGAGAGATGCTTTATTGTGATGCTGTGTTAAAAATAACCGATTTTGCCCTGTAAACCAAGGTGAAAGGGATCCATATGCCTGGGAAAGCTGAGCACTTTGTTGGCTGGTTCATTTCACTCGGAAGCCTTGACGAATCAATTTGTGTAGTAATTTTCTCTGCTATAATCTTATCACCTAGGAAAGTTTATTTTTCACACCAACTTCTTCAAAAATAGTGCTGGCTATTTTTTAGTCTAGCTAATGAGTTAGGTTTCAGATAAACACATGCTTTTTAATTCAGCAATTTAAAGAAAAAGTCTAGATAAATCTATCACACATTAGCTCAAGCTCTACCAAGCCAGGGAACTAGAAGCTAAGATTGATTATTCTTTTTAACATTATTATATTTTTTGTGTTTAGGGCTTAAATCCGTATGGAATAGATGAAGTGGAGTGTCTAGGAAATGCAACAATTCCCACCTTGATTAGACCCTGTTCTCGCTCAGGGTTGTAAAGAATACTCAGGTTTTTTATCCTTGAGGAAGAGTGTCTTGACATACTGAAAAGAATTAATCATCTAAAGACATTTTGTTATTTGGGACTTTGGAGGTGTGCTGTACATTGTTCAAGTTTTTGCACAAAACTCTTTTTTGTGCAAAATGGATTTGCAAATAAATTACAGTTGCCTCTTATTTCCTGTGCAGGAAATGCTTTTTCTACAGTCCAGGTTGGACAGATCACTTTTCATCACATGCTCAGGTTTGAAGCATGGACTGGAGGTAGGGAGAAAGTGGTGGGTTAGAGAAGAGTTTTTTCATTGGAGAACATCTCCCAGTTGTATTGTCAAAGGCTTTCATGGCCAGAATCACTGGGTTGTTATAGGTTTTTTGGGCTGTATGGCCATGTTCTAGAAGCATTCTCTCCTGACGTTTTGCCTGCATCTGTGACAGACATCATCAGAGGTTGTGAGGTCTGTTGGAAATTAGGAAAATTGGGTTTATATATTTTTGGAAGGTCCAGGGTGGAAGGTCCAGGGTTTATTTATTTTGTATGTGATAGTAAAATAAACAGAAATCTACATTACCAGTATTGCCTTTATGGGCCACATAAATCTTACAATATTGGTAGGATCTAAAAAGCATCAAAATGCATTTTGTTTTGTTTTTTAATAAAAACGTTTTTCAACAATGTTTTGTAGGAATACAAGGTCCATACAAATGGTCTTAGGGGATATTGAGGGCCACGTGCCACCATTTCATTTTATCTAGAAAAACAGGATATAAAACCTGAACAACTTCTCAGTTACTTCTCACAACCTTCACCAAAGCAAAGAAGAATTTTCTTCCCTGACAAGCCTGAATAAAACACACCAGTTATTTTCACAAAAATTGACAGAAGTGTATGATATGCCTTTCTAAACAATGGAAACAAAGAGGGTAAATGTGTCAATTTTCAGCAATTTTAAACATGTACTTCTTGCAAATGCGATCATGTCACTTTGAAATCTGGCATATTTATAGTCTTAAGCAACATCATGGATGCCAAGATCAAAATAGTATATCAACAAGTGTCATTTTATAACCAATATAATTTGAGGAAACATTGTTGGGAACTCAACTTAACTTAAGGGATCTCTTTATGGTCTATCTACCTATCTATCTCATGCCTTTCACTAAACATAGGAATGAAGGTGATTTAAAACAGAAATGAAAATGAAATATTCTAACCCCTCAATTATCATAATTAAAAACATTTTAAAGCATTCTATAAAATATCCTGTCTAAAAACATAAGTAATTAAAATCAATATAAAAGCATTTAACAGATAATAATGAGAACTGTTTTACACTCATGTAACATTTATGTTATGCTGCACCTTGGAGTGCCTTGTAAGCCACTCTGAGTTCCTTTTGGGAGATGGTGGCGGGATATAAATAAAGTTTATTATTAATAATAAATGTACAGCACCCATTCTCGATTAGAAGACACTCAAAAGCAATTTAATAACCAAACATCTGTTTAAACAGAAAAGGGCTTTGCAAGAATGAAATAGCTGTACAAAACATATCCCATCAAGGAGCCTCTAAAGCCCCATGCTCCACTGTATCCATAATGCAGAAGTATAGCAGTTTGACATCACATTAAATGCCATGGGTCAACACTATGGAATTCTGGGTTTGTAATTTTTGTGACATATTTACTCTTCTCTTCCAGAGAGCTCTGGTGCCACAAGAAACTACAAACCACAGGATTCAACTATGGCAGTGAAAGTTATGTCCAACTGCCATAATTCTGCAATATGGCTGCCTTACAAGGCAGGGTTACTAGAGACTGGCCAATAATGACCAAGGACAGTGGTTCTCAACCTGTGGGTCCCCAGGTGTTTTAGCTTTCAACTCCCAGAAATTCTAACAGCTGGTAAACTGGCTGGGATTTCTGGGAGTTTTAGGCCAAAACACCTATAACCCACAGGATGACAACAACTGATCTAGGATGATGGGACCGAGGGAGGGAGTTCCACTAAATGCCTCATCATAGCATTTTTGGTGCCCTAAATACCATAAAGGTGCCAGATCTCTTAGAAGCTAAGCAGGGTCAATTTAATGGGAGAGTGCCAACAAACAGTTGGTGGTATACACCACTGCTTCTTAAAGTGCGAGCCCTGACTCCAAATGAGGTTTCTTTAGTTCTATGTTGTTGTTTTTTCTGAGGGTCACCTAGTGGCTGTTCCAGGACATTTCCCCAATCAGCCTTATAGAATGGAGCCAATTGTCAGAGTTGCTCCTGAAGAATTCTGGGAAATGTAGTTCAGGGTGTAGCTTTTAGAATTCTCAACTAGAGAGGTCCTTGGCTTCCCTAACTACATTTCCCAGAACTCTACAGGAGCAGATAAGATGATCCCCTCTGTTCTGTAACACTGGTGGGATAACATATTTAGACATCTACACAAATAAGGAACCTCCGGTGGCGCAGTGGGTTAAACCCCTGTGCCGGCAGGACTGAAGACCAACAGGTCACAGGTTCGAATCCGGGGAGAGGCGGATGAGCTCCCTCTATCAGCTCCAGCTCCTCATGCGGGGACATGAGAGAAGCCTCCCACAAGGATGATAAAAAAAACATCAAATCATCCAGGCATCCCCTGGGCAACGTCCTTGCAGAAGGCCAATTTTCTCACACCAGAAGCGACTTGCAGTTTCTCAAGTCACTCCTGACACGACAAAAAAATCTACACAAATCTGTTGTGCCCTGTTTACAATAGACTCTGCAGAAGATGCTTCTTCTGCACTTCATAAAAAGAAAAACAGCCTGGTTAGCAAGCCTTGCAAATGATGATTTGTTAGCCATAAATGTTTGATTTTTATACCTGTTTCATATATCTGGGGTCACATCAAAATTTCTTGCGTAAAAAGAGGTCCCAAGCAGAACAGCTTAAGAAGCCCTGCTATAGGCTATATCAGGGGTCCTCACACTAAGGCCCGAGGGCCGGATGCGGCCCTCCAAGGACATTTACCCGGCCCTCGCTCAGGGTCAACCTATGTCTGAAACGACTTGAAAGCACACAACAACAACAACAACAACAGTCCTATCTCATCAGCCAAAAGCAGGCCCACGCTTCCTATTGAAATACTAATAAGTTTATATTTGTTAAAATTGCTCTTCATTTTAATTATTGTATTATTTTAAGTGATTTTTGCACTAAAAAATAAGATATGTGCAGTGTGCATAGGAATTCATGTGTTTTTCAAATTACAATCCGGCCCTCCAACAGTTTGAGGGGCTGTGATCTGGCCCTCTGTTGAAAAAGTTTGTGAACCACTGGGCTATATCTTCAAGGAGGGAACTGAAAAAACCACCTCTGCGTATTGTTTGTTTACAAAAACTGTATGGAATCCATGGAGTTGCTGTAAGTCAACAGGATACTTGAACGCAAATACACACACAGTGCCTCTTTTAGAGCAGCTGGATGCAGCGGGGCAGTCACCACTGTTGCTATCCATTCATTCAGTCAGTCCTCTGACTGTTTTTATGAAGGAGAAAGGATATGATCCAGCACAATTGTGGTGGCTTTCGCCTCTCAAAGGTTCCTTAGGCTACCTGATCTCAAATGTATCCAATAGTGAGGGAGAAGCAGGAGTCAAAGTTACATCCACTGAATGAGCTTCAACTACAGTGTGCATTCCAAAAGAAGAATATTTGACAACCAAAGGTTTATACACCTATTGTGCTGGCAACATAAAAGCAAATAAACTAGGACAGCTGGTAACAAATATGACACATGGCAGAACTCAACTGGTTTTTCAATTACAGAGAATTTCATTTGGCTGTGAAAATATAATACAACCATAAACAAACTGTAGTTTGTTGTTTAGCATTATGTCAACATCAAAAGAGGTATTTTCAATAAATGAATCCAGCAGGCATCAGAGAGAGCTGTAATAATGCTGTCCCAGCCGTGAGGCCTGATCCACTCAGGGCCTCATCAAACAGATCTGAGTGTAAGCAGGAGGAAACATAGTCCCTTGTGTGAAAGAACAATATAGTGTTTATTGAATACAAAAATGAATGATGGAAATATACCATAAAAGCAAAAGACAGCTAAC